CATATTTTTATAATCTTGTAAATACAAAATGATTCTTGTATATAAGCAATCTATGTTTAGGTTTTATTACACCAATAAACATTGCTGAGGAGTGAAGGTAATTAAAATAATAGCGGTGTCAAGGGAAAAATCCATCCTTTGCATACTGCTTTTTTGAGGGGTCGAAGGTTAAAGATTGCCAAAAGTTTCAATGTTCAATAATAAATTAGGAATTTAATATTAAAATTATTTAGATTAAATTCTTTTTCAATAAACAGAAACTTTTCTATTAGTTTTTATGAAATTATACATTAAATTAAAATTGAGGATACATTATTGAATATTTAAAAAATTCTTTTTTAAAGAATATCTGATTGTGCGATTCACATATGAAGACAATATAGCTCCAGTGGTTGGGAATTGATATGTGAAGCAGATTTTGTTTTGTTCACTTTGTCAGTGGGCATTAGATAAGAGTGGGTGAGGGATATGTTTTTTATGGCTTATCAACCTTTTGCAGGTATATTTAAAGCCAAAGAATATTTTAAGGATAATAATGATTTACTGATACAAGTCCTACTAATTAACCCATAGCTGGGGGGTGTGGGGAAAGAGGTGTACTCATACCTTTCCGAAAGGTATTTGCCTGTAAGTGAATGCAACGAACACAACTGGAATTGGAACTCGGCTCTCCGGTTTCCAATTCCAAGCTGTTATCTATTAACACCACCTGCACATCCAAGCTTAGCTTACAGCACCTGGTATTCAAAAAAACAGTCACCAATCTAGGTACTGACCAGACTTGACATTGCTTAACTTCGGTGATCATACAAGAACTGGTGTTTCAATGTTATAAACTGCATTAGTTAGGAACACCTGAAAGAACAGAGATGTGAATGATGAGCAAGATCATTGGTTGAAACGAGGAGGAGGAGGAGGATTGTATTTAAATAAAGATCAGGTGACCTAAGTTAAAAGACAATTGGTACAAATGATATGAAAGAATAATTAAAAAAAAATAATTAAAACCTAATTAACATTCTTAAGTTGTATTTTTTTTAAAGCATTTTATTACAGGGTATCACAAAAGTGCTTAATACACTAATTCTTAAATCTAACTTATTGTACTGTAGTTAATGGCAAATACTATGGATATATTCTTGTAATTAAAAAAAAAATATATGTTAAAGCAAAATACTTAAATATATGAAAATATATTACCTTCTGGAAAAGATTATATTTCTATGCAATAATTTAAATTCAGTTTTTAAAATCCCTTTTCGGACTTATAACCCTTTTATATTGGCTGCTGTGTGAAAATGCATATAGCCAGGCAGACAGTATACCACCTAGAATAATAGACAGCAGGAGCCCAGAGTGGGAGACCCGTACTCATCAGGGGTTCACAGTTCAAAGGGTTAAGACATTATGCATATGCATTAGATATTTTTGCTATGTCAATTCAAAAACAGAAGTACTTTGATAAAAGGAAACAGAGATAATTTTTTATCACTTGACTTGGATTTCTGGCATAAGGCCAAGAGTTTAAACACAAAACTCCTTCTTTATTTATGACCGAGAATATGAAAATGATAAAAGCTGACCACTTAAAGAATTGGAAGTTTAAGAGATGTCAATTCAGTAGTTTTTATACAAATTTCCTATAGCATCTTGATCAGTATATTCTCTGGCCATCACCAGATGACAAAACATTCAGGAAACTTGCTCTGTTAAGTTAGCACAAAATTAAAAGAAACTCAGCTTCAGAATATTAAATATCATATTCATTATTAAGTTAGAAGTAATATTGTTCAGTGCTTATTAGTACTAATTGCACTAGTCTAATATTGAGGAAATTATTAGCAGAAAATCTGTTAAATTTGTCAGATGTTAAATTATATCATTTTACGTATGTTATCTACTTGTACTAATAACTAGCATTTTAATTTTATCTATCTATCTATATATATTAAATAATTAAGAAAGAGACAACATTAAGGTTCCATGACTATAATTTATTTCCCCAGAAAATATATTTTCCTGGTTCATCAGGTCACATCTCTAGTTACAAAAGAATTAGGTTTCCCTCAAAAATTTATATTAAAAATAATCGAAACCAAATTCTTTTGTAATAAGAGATGAACCTGAAAAAATATATTTTCTGGGGAAATAAATTATAGTCATGGAACCTTAATGTTGTCTCTTTCTTAATTATTTAATTAATATATACTTTGGTGTTACATTGAGCTCTCTGGATTACACCCTCTTTGGAATTATCCACACAGATTACCAAACATTTCATTACCTTATATATATATATATATATATATATATATATATATATATATATTACCTTATATATATATATATATATATATATATATATATATATATCTCATTATATATATTACTATATATATATATATCTCATTACCTTACTATATATATATATATCTCATTACCTTACTATATATATATATATCTCATTACCTTTACTATATATATATATATATATATATATATATATATATATATATCTCATTATATATATATATATATATATATATATATATATATATATATACCTTACTTATATATATATATATATATATATATATATATATCTCATTACCTTACTATATATATATATATATATATATATATATATATATACACACACACACACACACACACACACACACAGGCTGTCCATAAACTTCGTGTGCACTTTAAAAAATTTATAACTTTATTTGTATTTGCGATAGAAATAATCTGTAAAAAATGTTATAAAGTTTAATGTACCTAGTTTTAAGTATAGTTATTGAATAATTCTTTACCACAAAATCTGCAACAATTTTTAGATAAGTAAAAAATATTTTCTTTTTTCCAGAATCAATTTGATCCATGGCTTCAACTGAGCAAAAAAGTAAACTGTGTCCTTTGGTTGGCCGAACTGAAATCTACCATTGCTGTACAAAGAAAGTTTAGAATTGAATACAATAAAGAACCACCTCATGGGAACACTATTGCTAAATGGATGAAAAAATTTAAAGAGACAGGCTCCATCCATGTTAAGCCACGGTCTGGAAGGCCATGTATCAGCAACGAAAGTGTTGCATCCATAAACTTAAATAAAATTTCAGTAAAACCTTAAAAAATATAGATTTACTTCTTTCTAATCCTTTTTACAAATTATTTCTATCGCAAATACAAATAATGTTATAAATTTTTTAAAATGCACATGAACTTTAAGGACACCCTGTAGATATTAACAAACTCTTCATTACCTTACTATATATATATATATATATATATATATATATATAGAGAGAGAGAGAGAGATTTTAACTATGGTGACTTTGGTACAAGGACAGTTTTATAGAATACTTTATAAATATTGAACTGACTTCTTCACAGTTGACCTTTGATAAGTATCAAACATTTTTACTTCTATTTTAATAATAATTATCACTCTAGTCTTATATTAGCAGAAATTCTGATAAATTATATCATTTTACATATGTTATTTGCTAGTATCAATAGTTAGCATTATTATTTTATTCTATTCTTAGCTATTATATAAATAAACCATTAAAAACTTAAAATGAGTGTCTGGATATACTAAAACTAAATAACAGAGAAGGAAATCATCTATATATTTAATAAAATAGATAAAATTTAATAAACTGTGTTATGAAACAGAGTTAAAAGAGACTGTGCTACAAAGATGTTGTCCTTTGTGACCAGGCTGTTGTAGCAAAGCTTAAGTGATTGATGGGGAGTGCAAAGTGTGTGGCTTGTTCTAAAAGGGTACAAATTTAAAGTTTTATTTAGTTTGGGAAATAAGAAATCTAATAAATAAATAGTGTTTAATATCTTTGTTGTCAATTCTCAACATAATGTATAAATCCACTTTCATGTTTGAATTTTATTAAAATTCTAATCACTGCTTTTTAAAACAGACATTGCTGAGGGAGTCAAAAGTGTATACAGTAATAGCAGTGTCAAAGGAATAGATGTCCTTTTGACACACGGTTTGTTTGAGGGCACAAAGGTTAAACATTGGTGAAATGTCTTTGTTTTTCAAATGTATGAAATACTTTATGGAAACATTGGCAATCTTTAATGTCTGTGCTGGCAAAAAACAGTGTGTCAAAAGGACAGTTTTTCTCATGACATCGCTGTTATTTTAACTACTTTCACTATTTGTCAATGTTTACTGTTTTAAAAAGCGATGGGGGTGGAAAGTGAACGGCTTGTCCTAAAAGGGTAGAAATTTAAACTTTTATTTCATTTCAAATGAGTAATTCAATTTTCTTGGGTGGGTGGGTGTTTAAGAATAAGCGTCATATCCATTTATAGGCATATTTTCTGTTGTCAATTCCAAGTTTATTCCAGAAAATATTCCTGTTAAACTGAAAGAGAGCGAGAAAAAAATTTAGTTGAGGAGACATGAGATCTTCAATTAAAAGAAATGTGTCAATAGATATAAATAAAAAAAAAAAAAAAGAAAAGGTATTTTCTTTTCGTAGTTTTAACTCTGGATTTAGACAAAATAAGAGCAAAAGGAAAGAAACTCAGAAACATTTCAAATGTTTCCATATTTTACTTTCTCTTTTTAAATCTATCTTGTATTTTTTGTGCAATGATATCCAGACATTAGAAATCTTCCATTTTTTTTTTTTCATTTTTTTTATTTCAGTACTTGAGGTATAATTTAAAAATACTAGAGAAATCTACATTCATACATTGTGGTTACTGCATGGGACCGAGGGGAAGTCTCACATTTGTGGGGATATTATATCACATTTAATAATTTTAGCATTCACACAGTAGCTAGAAATTTGTTTTTTGAATCATTAGAAATGTAGTTATAGGAAATATATTTTTTTTTCCTAATAAAAAATGTGCCCCCCACCATTTAAATTTGTTTATTAAGAATCAAAAAGAATCCAGCTGTTTCTGACTCTGTGCAAAATGGTCCTTCATGATTGTTTGCAAATAAATCCACGTTGATATTCTCACTTCAGTACATCTTGAAAGATTGCTGCATAGAATTCTGGAGCAGTCATTTTGCTGCGGTATTTATTAACAATGTCTTGGATTTTTAACTTTCGACGTACATGAGGTGGTTGGTACCTATACAGGGAAATAAAATGATAAAAATAGTAAACAAAAAAATTTGTCTAGCTTGATTGTATTAATGGCATGTTTCTCTACAAATGCATAAGAAATAAAAAAGTTAAATAGCAAATTCATCATTTTGTTAACCATATTTGGGTGAAAATTCAAATTGATAAAAACAAATTTGAATGAAAATTTAAAATGACGAAAATAAAATTTAGATGAAAATTCAAAATGACAAAAACTAATTTGGATAGAAATTTAAAAAAATAAAAATAAGAACTCTCTTTTACTATTACTTACAATTCACTCTCCAATCTCTTGCGCCGGCAAATATTTATAGCAGTCTGCCGTACAAGTGTTCCCAAAGATCTGCGACTTACCACCATTCCATCTACAAGAGGTATTGCCATGGAAACTCTAAAACAGAAGAGAGTGGGAGGAAAAAAGATATTTAATCTATGCAAATAACAAATTTAAAGAGAGAGAGATAGAGTGAGAGAGAGAGAGAATAAGATTAAAAAAGAACCTTTTAGATTGGCCCTGCATTCGTACTCTAAATAAACCATTCTGCAGGGCATGAATAAAAATGACATAAATTTCCTGAGTTCGTGTGATTGAAGAACCTGTACTTCCACCACTGTTGGCATGTTGTTCTAATCCAGTATTTGTATAACTCAGCATCTCAGCTGAAAAAATTAAAAACAAAAAATGTATATCATTAAAACTTTTGTTACCATCTGAGAAACTTTAAGAAAAACTTGAAGAAATTGGTACTTGCAGAAATTTTAAAGGGGTGAGGATTATAAACAAAGAAGTTTTGAGGTTATATTTCCAAAACTAAATTGATTTCAAAGCAAGGATGAATAGTTGGCTACTTTTGTCAGTCAATAAAATTAATGATCCCCATGGGGTATAAATGTATCAATCTTAATTACCAACAAGTTTACTGTGTCAAGAGTTAACTCCTCCTTTAGTTCGTAACCCTTTCACCAGGGGTCGCTCTTCACTGCTATAAATAGCCGCGGATCTTTCACCTCTATCTCTTTTTCCCTCAGGCCTGTGCGGCGACACCTTGAGGTAAATCTCTCTTTTTCCTCAGGCTTTCAGCTATCAACCTCGAAATGTAGGCACTAACAAGGGATAGCGTGGAAATACGCTAAGCACAATACACACGCATGCACATACAGAATATTCACACACGCACGCACATACAGAATATTCACACACGCATGCACATACAGAATATTTACATACACTTCATCTTTTGTACTGTTTCCATGTATTGTAACTTGTTATTAATATATATTTGTATATACATATATTATCGGCCTTGTGTTTTGTTTGCTTTCTTTGCCTTCTTCTTTGGATTTAATCAAAGTCCAACCTTTTTATGTAGTTGGGCCCGGTGAGCAGGAGAATATGAACCTTACATGCGTTTCTTCTACATCTGACTTCACAACATCACAGCCACGGCCCTCTACAACTGTCATCTAATGTTTTTTATAAATTTTGTAAAGGTTTTTTTGTTTGAAAACACGCATTTTATAGGATTCCAATTAACTTACTGAACATTGGATGTCTTTGCAAATTACAGTGGAATAATGGATAGAGGCTTGGATCGAGAAATCAGAGAGCCAAGTTTGAATTCCATTTAAATCTATTACATTCACTTATGTGCTAATACCCTTGGGAAAGGTATGAATCTTCTTCTTCTCCCCCCAGCTATGGGTAAATAGCAGGACAAACTGAGTTCTATAGCTTTGGATGGCAACTGGTCTACCGCAGAAAGAAATGAGGGAAAAAATCTACCTCGTCAGTCATGTATTGAAAGATACATGATCACCTAAGCATGAATCACACATGGCACATAACTGACTGACCTAAGAGGTAAAAATTACAAATTATTAATAATTATGACATTTTAGGAGTGAGAGAAAAACAAAGAGAGGCAAAAATAAGAAAGAAAATAATTAGAAAGAGGAGAAAATGAGAGAAAGAAAGAAGAAAAAGGGAGAGAAAAAGCAAATGAGAGAAAGAGAGAGAGAATGAGAAACAGTGAAAGTGAAAAATGAGAGACAGAGAAAGAGGGAAAAATAGAGAAAGTAAAATATGAGAGAATAAGAGAGAAAAATTGAGAGAGAGAGGAAAAATAATTGATTTGTTATTCACATCTCATCAACCCTTTTTAGGTTATTTAAAGTTGAAATATATTTTGGACTATAAGAATAATTTTTTTGTAACTGAATATTGCATAAAAAAATTGTTTTGAGATAACAGTGATTTTTCCAGATACAAGTCCTACCATTTAACCCATAACTGGATCGAGAAGAGCTAGAGAAAAAAACGAGAGAGAGAGAAGAGAAAAAGGAGAAAGAAAAAGGGAAAAGAAAAAAAAGGAGAAAGAAAAAGGGAAAGAGAAAAGGAGAAAGAAAAAGGAAAGAGAAAAGGGAAAGAAAAAAAAAAGGGAAAGAGAAAAAGAAAGAAAAAAAGGAAAGAGAAAAGGAGAAAGAAAAAGGGAAAGAGAAAAAGGAGAAAGAAAAAGGGAAAGAGAAAAAGGAGAAAGAAAAAGGGAAAGAGAAAAAGGAGAAAGAAAAAGGGAAAGAGAAAAAGGAGAAAGAAAAAGGGAAAGAGAAAAAGGAGAAAGAAAAAAGGGAAAGAGAAAAAGGGAAAGAAAAAAGGAAAGAGAAAAAGGGAAAGAAAAAGGAAAGAAAAAAGGGAAAAAAAAAAGGAAAAGAAAAAGGGGAAAGAAAAAGGGAAAGAGAAAAAGGAGAAAGAAAAAGGGAAAGAGAAAAAGGAGAAAGAAAAAGGGAAAGAGAAAAAGGAGAAAGAAAAAGGGAAAGAGAAAAAGGAGAAAGAAAAAGGGAAAGAGAAAAACAGTGAAAAACAAAAAAAAAAAAACAAATTATTGAAATATTTTTTTGATAGTTTTTAAAACTAAATTTCTACATAATAAATTTTTTTGACATCAATTATGAAAAAAATCTGCCACTAATTTTTCTATCACTTTAAAATAATTTCTTTGTTGATTTTCCATCAAACAAACTATTTGTTGACAAGATATTTGAAACAGACATCCAATTTTAATAAAGAGATGCAATTAATTCTGAGAGGCGATGAGGATTTCTCAAAAACAGTCGCTCCCAAAAATAAGCAAATGAAGAAGAAAAAAATACAGGTTTTGTGCAGAAACTTACTTGAAGGGAAATTGTCTGAATCTTCAAAACTTTCTAACCACACAACATAGACACGTGTGTCTGGTCCAATGGCCAGGGATGAATGCCGACCATATTTCTTGCCCCTGATAACAGGAATTTCCGGAGGAGAACCTGGACTTTCCTTTTCTTTACCATTCTTGTCTCCCACTAATCCAAGTGACTTCGGTTTGGTTAAATTTAAATCAGGCCCAATAGAAATTCTTTCACCAACATTACTAATGTTATTCTTTTCTGTAAAAAAAAATTTTTCTATTTAGGAAAAAAACCCAAAAAACAAGAGGATTTTTGCTGGAATGCAAGATTACTGAATAATGCAAACAACAAAATAGAATTGTGAGTTCAATACCTGGACACAGCAGAGGGAACAAAAACTTGGAGAGTTGAGTTACTAAAGGGAATTAACTGAAAAAGAGCTAGACAAAAAAGGCATGGCACGTGGAATTAGAACAATCTACCTCTGTGAACTAAATGAAGTGTTTGATTTGAAATGAAAATGTATATCATCTGAAGAAAGCCAGAGCATACAACAGCCTAAACGTTGTGAATATGACAATAAAGATGAGGACAACAGTTCGAATGATGCAAATAAAGTAAATAACAATGAAATAAATAAAGCCTTTCTTTATTTATGATTTGCAAATTTATTTTCTCAAACAGTAAATGCAATATAGATTTAAGAGTATCTGGTGTGTATAATTGTTATAGCACAAGAAGTGAAATTGGTGAATTCTTGCTTTGTCTGTTAAGTTCTTTTTCTCACTAATGTCTTTGTGAAAAGTAAAAATCCCTCTCTTCTCTCCCCAACTATGGGTTAAATAGTGGGGGTAGAATGGACAATCTAGCTTAGATGGCAGTCAGTCTAAAAGGACTACTATTACTACCATTTTCCTCTTTTTGTCAGATGTAAGGAGTGATGTGGTCACAGAAATTGTCTGACAGCCATGACTGGGCTCTCCTGTGTGTGTGGCATGGTGCAGATTCCTATTGCCAGACATAGGGTCTTCCAGCAGCCACTCTCTCGACCCAGGGAAGCACAACCTCCTCAAGGCATGATGTAGGCCTCTGTGTTGAGTCTGATGGCCTGTGGGAAGATGAATGGAGGCATAACATTGTGATCACTCCAAACACCTTTGTAATCACCATTAGACTCAGCCAACTCTTTCTGGATCGTCTGTAGTCCTCAATTTGACACCCAAAGACTCTGAAATATTCAAAGTTGAAGCTTCTGACATGAATGGGAAGCAGTACAGCATGCCTTTTCCAAATTTCTGGCAGAGTGGTGCACTTTTTCTCACAGAAGGTGCCCAACTGACCCTACTATACTGTGCAGTCAACTAAATCAAAAACATACAACGTGCATGCACAAAATTAAAAATAAAATGGCACCAATTTACCTGTATATACTAGTATTATATATATATATTTTATCAATTCAAGTCCAGGGTTAACCTTTATCTTCCCCACATATTCTCATAATCTAGGCCATTACTTCTTACTTTGTAACCCTCTAACTTGTGTGGCTCTTAGGTCTTATACAGAGTGAACATTATTGTAACCACCCCAGACAAAAAATAATATTTTCTTCCATGGATGAGATGTAAGCAGTACTCAAACAATTTCCGCTCACAAACTGCTACTTTGTAGAACTGATTCTCAAGAGGATGCATTCCAGACCACTACAACCTCAACCTATTCAAATCTAAGATTAAATCGTATCTTTCTCACATATCCTCATAAAATATGCCTTTCACTGCTAACACAATAACCTCCTTCAGTAACCCTCTACTTTGAGTGGCTGATGTATATTTTTATTTGAATTTTACAATAGAAATGCAAACTGGGAACTTACCTAAGCTCTGATCATTGGGCCCAGTAGAAGATCGATTGTTCATACAAGAATCAGTTGAAGGGACTACAAAAGCGATCTCTGAGGAAACATCAGCCCAGTACAAGACTTGCTGACGGCCACCATATATGCTACCTCCAGTGTTAGTTGGACTATCATAATCTAAAAATAGAAACAGCAAATTGAAATGTTTGCAAGGCTTCATGCATATGGACACATGGCAAAGTGAGATGATAGCATTAGTTAATCAGAACACATTATCTAGTCTTTGTGAGTTCAATCCCTGTTGGGTTGGGTAGTGCAAAAAGTCATTTTTACACACAGACAAACATATTGTGGTTACCAGTAAATGTGGTGTACAAATCAAGTTTTCAAGCTTAAAAAATCTTTTGGAATCACAGTTTTGAATCACTGGTAGCCTACCATATGTTTGGAGTTCAACTTATAAGTATAGGCCTAACTCAGAATTTTGAGCTAAAAATCTTGAGGTCGACTTGTACATCACAATTTATGGTAAGTGGAAGAGGCAAGCAACATCACAAGGAAGAATTAACATGGAGAGTGGCATGAGAACAATCTACTCCAGGGTTTTTCAAACTGTGGGTCCTGACCCTTCAGAGGGCTACGAGATAAATAAAATGGGTCATAAGAAAAAAAGAAAGAAAGAAAAAAATATATTCAAGTGAGAGCAAAGTGCAGAATATAAACAACTCTAAATGTTGTACAGCACTCATAAATCATCACTAGTTTTTCATCGAGGTAAGCTCGTATTATATTTAAATAAATGAACCTACTAAATAGAGTTTGTCTCTGATTTGTAGGTATAATGGGTCATGATGCAAAACGTCGTTCTTGCTGTGAGTCATGGTAAAAAAAAAAAAAAAAAAGTTTGAAAAATACTGATCTACTCCATTGATTAAGTAAAAGACTCAGTTGGAAATTCCTAGATTACCAACTATAACAAATACCTGAAGAAGACTGGAGAATGAAATGGTTGAAATGAGATTATAACAACAAAGATGAGGATTCAGTGTAAATTGAAATTTTGCACCATTTCATGCATAGAAAATTGGATCCAAATTTTCTAAAGATTTATAATTGGAGTTTATATCAAAGATTTGTAAACAAGTGATGTCAAAATTATAGAAATATGAAATTTCATCAGCAGCAAATTTAAAAAGATACACTTCTAGGACATTTTTAAAAAATAAATTAGGCTTTACATTTGGTCAACATATTTTTCATCATGTTCAAAAGTAAGTATGCCACATTTTATATATATATTTTATATATAGATAGTACATGAGAGAAAATGATATATAAATTTTTATATACCAGAAAAATGTTAGAAAAATTAATGACAAATAGAAAAAATATTTTTGTGTTGTGTTTCATCATTTAAGAGTTCATTTAAAATTTCAGTGTCCCCTCTCCTCCATGCATATGTATAATTACATCAGCATAAACACCACTTTAGTCTGATGAAGTCTCAAAGGGTAAAACGCATCACATGAAAAATATTTTTGCCACTTTGTGATTAATCAATAACACATGGATATTACATCTAAATCCAAAAGCCTCAAAAGAGGATTTTCCACTGCTCTATTCATGTTTTTATTCAAGACTGAAGCTTTCCAATTTATTACTAATGAAATGAGTTTATTCAATTTTAACTTGAAACATTTTGGCGAATTACCGTTATCATCATCAAAAGGAACTAGAAACTAAATTTTAAATTTATGATTTCTAAATAATATTAAATGATTAGTTTGCATATACCATAAAAAAAATTACATCATTATTTAAGTAATTTAGCACTTTCATTGATCATATTTTTTGCATGAGTGATCTTGTTATTTTGTTTTTGTTTATCTGTACCAGTGGTTCTCAACTGAGGTCCATGTAACATTACTGGGGGTCCACATAAAAAAATAGCAAATTGGGTGTCCACAGTAATATTTTAGTTGTCCATAGAGCAATTTCACTTTGGAATGGTTGTTACAAATGAGAATTGGAATTTCTGCAGTAATCTATGCCATATTAAAATACTAAAAATAAAAAAAAAAAAACAACTCCAAAACTAGCGGAAAACAAGACCAAGCGATGTAAGTTAGTGCCCTATTTTACTTTACCAAATGTTGTGGTCAAAAGAGATTAGCAACTCTGTTTTGGGACACAATTTCAGATTGGGCATTTCTTTTCTCTACACCGGTTTCTTGGTGTTTTTCATTGTTCTCTGTTCTTCCTTGTATCTGCTTTGTCATTTGTTCCTCCTGTCACAACTGTGTTTACAGTATGATGTACCCTGACAGAGACATCTCATCGTACTTGACATACGGGCACCTCAGAATGGAGCACAAACACACCCAGCGGATGTCTCTCCTCGATTCTATCCAGCCATGCTAATATTATGCACAGTTGCTAATGAACGAATTTCTTGTGGGGACAACAAAGAAGAAGGGTCTCTTTTGATGGAACGACATACTTGCTTTCTCTTAAATCAAGCTCCTACATGCCAAACAAAGAGGAACTCACTTTCGTTGAGAATAAGGCAATTCCTGTTCACCATTTCTGCCATTTGACTCCAGTTCTGGTTTGCTATGTCTGCCACAGATATTTTGATTGTAAAAGTTGAATAAAAACTGAGAAGGATATATAAAGCAAGGATTATATATATATATATATATATATATATATATATATTATATATATTAGTAAAAAATAAAATAAGCTTCTTTTTCATTGAATTATTATAGGGGGTCCAAATTAAGATTAGAAGTGGTCCAAGGGTAAAAAAAGGTTGAATACCACTGATCAATACAATTAACTCTATTGCAGCATGCAAGAAAGAATTGGCCTTTTAAATCATTAAAAGTAAACATATCCAAAGAAAGATAATCGGAAAGAAATAAAAATCAATGCATTAGCAACATTATTTTCTATCTCTTTGTTATATCATAGAGCATGGTGTAACATAATACCTCATGCTACCCTAGTAATGGAATATCTTATTACAACTAAAAGAGAATTGGCTGCTTGACTGATAGATATAAAAATCAGTGTTTTATATTAGAGAAGAGATATTTTTACTTCTGTTATCTGTTTGATAAAATCTATATGATTGTAAGCATATATAAAAATCTCTTTAATGACTTTCATAAAACTCTTACAAAATATGCACTCCCATTTTTAAAATTTGAACACAGAAAAACAAAGATTTAAATAGGAATTATTTTATACCAAACAGTGCCAGGTGAGCTTGCTGGTGTTATAAATGAACTATATATTAGTAAATGCATAATACCTGAAAGAGAATGAGAAGACTTTGCAAGGGACTGGAAACCCAGTCTTAAACAGAAAATAAGGATAAAACTCTACTCCTGTTCAAAAGACTGGGGAGGAGTGTGAACAGATCTACACCTATTGAGGAGAAAATAAATAAATAGTAAATAAAATTTCAGAGTTTAGGTGGGGGCATTAGAAGTACTGAGTTGAAGTAGACTTTAGAAAGAACCAGAAACCCAACTTGAAACAAGGGATAAACCTCTGCTTATGTTTAAAAGCCTGGGGAGGAGGGTGGTTTAATATTACAGAAGAGATATTATTTTTACTTTTGTTATCTGTTCAATAAAAGCTATATGATTGTAAGCATATATAAAAAAAATCTGTTTAATGACTTTCATAAAACTTCTACACAACATGCACTCCTTTTTTAAAATTTTAAACACATAAAAAGGAAAGATTTAAATGGAAAGTATTTTATACTAAACATTGCCAGGTAACCTTTCTAGTGTTATAGACGAACAGTCATATATTAGTAGATAAGATGTGCCTACCATGAATATCATCCTCATTGATGACCTTCCAACTTGTGGACACATGGCCAGTCCAACCTGCATGCTTACGCACAAACACTGGCCAGCCAAGAGAGCGTAAAAACTCCAAAAATTGAGGTTGGACATTGGTGTTTGAGAGCTTGAACAAAAGATAAAAAAAAAATAAAAGATGAATGCCAAAAATATTTAAGACAAAAAGAAAAAAAAAAACAGTAGAGCAGGGTCCATGGATAAGTTTCAGGGGGTCCATGAGTGTCAGATAAAAATTAATATTTATATTCACCATACAGTTTGGTACCAATTGTTTCCCACTGAAAGAAATAAAAGAAAATACATCTCACCACTGCTTGAAAAGAAATCCTACTAACAGTGCTGATCATTAGGTGTCTCTTGATTTGCTGTTGCATCCATGTTTCCCATTTAAACGTGTGTCCTCATTCTCTGCATGACCACCATCATTTTCCCCTCCATAAGACCAAGTGATAATTCTTATTTCCCATGGTTTATCACAGCTTGATTATCTTCTCATATACTGGTGAGGATTAATTAACCACAAGTTCTTTCAAGCATGGCTAGCTGAAAAGTGATGGGGTCTATGACTAAAGGTGTCCTTGACTCAAAAAAGGTTAAGAACCACTGTTTAACAAAGGAGCAAGCTTTTTCTTTAAATAACATGTAATATAAAGTGAATAACAAATATTAACACAAAAGTACACCATGGACAGACCATGTGAACAATGAGGAAATTTTAAGGAAAAAATGGAAACAAAGAGGACATTTATACTTAGAATCAGAAAAGAACATTTGACATTTCTATGACACAAAATGAGGAAAGAAGGCTTGGAACATTTGGCACTCTATTTTCTATGGCTTATCAACCCTTAGCAGGTTATTTGAAGCCAAAAATATTTTTAGATTGCAACAATTATTTTTTTGGTGGTGGGGAGATAATAATGATTTAGTGATACCAGTATTACTAATTAACCTATAGCAGGGGGAGAAGAGATGGTTACTTATCCTCCCCAAGAGTATTTGCATGTAAGTGAATATAACGAACCCAACTGGAATTGGAACTTAACAATTACAAGCCATTATTCATTATACCACCTGCATATCCAAGCTTTTGGTATTTTGAAACAGTCAACCATCCAGGTACCTGATCAGGTTTTGACATTGCTTTACTTTGGTGATCACATGGAAACTGGTGTTTCAATGTGATGGAGCCATGAACATCAGCACGCATTGAGTGACACAGGGAAACAGTGAATATAATGAACCAAACAGGAATTGGAAGTTAACAATTCCGAGCCATTATCCATTACACCACCCACACATCCAAGCTTGCAGAACCTGGTATTCCCAAGCAGTCAACCAGCTAGGTACTGACCAGGCTTTGACATTGCTTTACCTTGGTGATCACATGGGAACTGGTGCTTCAATGTGGTATGGCCATAAGCCTTGGCAGTCAGAGGACATAGTAAGGGACAGACAGAAAGAGCAAGTAACCTACCTAATGAGGTTGTGTGAATGGATGGCAGTAAGAGAGATAGTTAAAAAAATAAACATTGCTGAGAGTGACAAAGAACAGAAAGTTGTGGAGAGCTATGATTGCCCATGTCCTAAAGAGACATGATATCTAGAAGAATACAAAAATTAAAAAAAAAAACAACAAATCAAACACATACAAACAGAAAGGTACCTACCACATTTCGTAGTATTTCTTCTGGTGCCTTTTGTCCTGGTTTCATGTAGAAGACATGCACAGTATCACTATCCCGACTTGGAATTCCATCCAGAGTTTCCAGGTCTGTGAACAGAGCACTGTTGTTACTGGCCAATAAAACCAATGCTGGGGGTAGGCTACTGTTACTTGATTCCTGGAAAATCAATAACAATGATATTTGTATACTCGGCAGCATTTCTTTTGGAGAATTGTGAATGTCTTCTTTTTGGTTCCAGTCGGTGTAGGAATGACTGCAAAAACTTCCCCCTCACCAAATTTATAGACATAATCGTACAGATGCATGCTGGGATTTATTCCTAGCCAAGATAGGCCACTTATCAGCCTCATCTGCCATATTCTTGTTCTTTCTTCTCTTGAAGTCAGAACACTGTGATTGTCAGTACCTCTTTTACGTGTTAACACTATTCTTACTTAGTGAACTTTTTTGCCTTATTACTGTTGCTTTCTCTACTTTTGCCTTGCATTTATTGTTTGTTAAGTATCATTTTTGCTCCATCTTTTTTCATTCTTTTATTATTGTTTATTGGAAACTTTATCAATTCCATTTTTTGGGCATTTCAAAATGACCACTTATTTTACACTTCTCAATACTTTTTATCTTTTTGAGGGGTGGGGGGCAGGGATAGTATATAAAATAAAAGAGAAAACTTAAAAAATACATTTTTTTACTATTAGATATAGCATTTCTCTTTATTATTATTATTATTCATTTTAACTTCTCATCTTAAGTTTAAAATTATTCAGTGAGTCGACAGTGCAGATTGGAAATGAAGAATAAGCATTTGAAGACATTTGAACCCACATCACTTTTGCCTTAGAGAAGTCTAGTTGAAGACTCCCTGACTATGCAGGTCAAATGTAGTGATGTACAATTTTGCTAATTAAACAAGCTGAGAGTGGAAGAATGACTTTGCTCAAAGCAACTGGTTGTGACACTCCTATCTCTCTCCATTCAATCTTCATCAGAATATTTCAGTCTAGGGCGAGTGTGGGTTGGTATTTGTCATTTCTAACTTTTACTAATTAAATTGACAGGAGAGAAGAATTGAAGCTTCATAAAAGAGGAGCTATTTGACCAGCTAGAAGCAATCTGCCCCAGGCTAACATCATGAAGATGGAACCCTGTCTGACACTTTTTGCTTTCCCCATTTTTTCCAAAGGCAGCAGCCATCCTGTCTCTTTTATGAAGCACATGAATAAACCAGAATTATTTCTTTCAAATGTCTTTTGTTGTTTGTGATTTTTCAGCGGCAATAACACATTTCAATCACATCCCTTCTTTTGCAACCAACCACCCAAGTAGTGGAATCTAAAACTCAACCAAGTGCCAGTTCAAGTTGCAATGTTATACAAATCTAACATCTAAATCTACCATTCATTTCATGATCTTTTTCAGTGTCATACATGTTAATTGATTTGTTTAACAGCATATCAAACACCTTATGAGGTCATTTAATGCCAAAATTTAATTTTCTTGGGTGCTTTGAAGTAATAAAAATATGATATACATTATTCTGCTTTCACAACTGAATACATGGTAGATTATACTCAGCTTTTGTGCATATACATGTTTGTGTGGACATGATTACTAGAGGCAGTGATGTGTATGTGTTTTATGTTGAAGCTATATTTTAGAAATACAGTTTGATTTCTTTAAGAAATTGTGGGATATTACATGGACTAATATAATGAAAGAGTTCTTTTATGTTGGTCATTTGGTTGGTTCGTTTATTTTGTATGGTGGCACATCAACACCTCTATGGGGTTTCAATGCTGAAATCTAAATATTTTGTACATAATTTTATGCTTTCAACTACAGATATTTTGGACATAACTCTACACTTTCAGAGTAAAGGTACATTTTTTTAGATATATATTTTATAGATCATAAAATGTAGTGTTGGTAATTTTACTATAAAATGTACTCGCGGTTTTTGTTGGGGGGGGGTCACTGTTTGCCTATAGTTGGGACCCTAACAAAAGCTACCACCCTGGATCAGGATAGATCTGGGAACAACAGCAATTAAGAGGTGGTTCCACACTCCCTAAAACCTCAAATCTCCCGATCAGAGGCCCTGCTGCCAGATGTAGTTTATGTCACGTTTGTCTTTTGGTTTTGACACTAATGGTATTAGTATCAGTATTACTATCTTTATGATTATGGCTTGTATTTATATTTCTCTTTAGTCATAGTTGCTTTTTAATCTGACTACTATAACAGTGAATAGTCAGCATGAGTAAGAATATCTGGAGCATTCAACCAGCCTTCCCTGAAGCATGATGGATGTGAGTTCAAATCTTACTTAGAGCTTATTTTTTTTTATCCACATTGTTTACTAACTGATGTAGATTAAATCAAGTTATGATTCAAAATCAACTAAAAAAATTAAGATGAAACTAAATATTAGTAAAAATTAATGAAAACCAAAAAAAACTATTTAATCAAAAGATAATTTACATTCAATTACCAATAAATTTATCTGAAAAAAAAGTCTTCATTATTCCATATATTACTTGAACATCTACCTTTGTTATTTTGATCCTACATTTGGGGTGGGGGCAGGGGAGGGAGGCTTTTATGTTCATCAGCCTTTTTTTGGTTGTATGTTGTATCCAATGATTAGAAAATTGCATGATACTTTTCCAACTCCACAACTAAGTAATCTCTAAAGATCAGTGAATGCAATCTGCATTGCACATGAGAAAAGCCAAAATCATATTGGCTTAATAATTGAGACAAATTCAACAAAAATGAAGACACTGGCCTGGATAAGTGATGTGTTATGTGTAGTGACATAAACATTGGTTGAGTTTATACTTAAGTCTATAAGTAAGCATTGGTCAGGTACATCTGTGAGTCTATAGGTAAATATTAGTTGGCTTTATAAGTCAGTCTATAGTCATTTACTTGGTTTGGGGACAGGTAAATATTGGTTATTTATATTTTAGTCTGTAAGCATTTATTTGGTTAGTGGACCCTTTTTCGGGCAGTAGTTTTACCCATCTGCAGGGGATGCAGTCATTGTATCCTCGCTCCTTCTGACAGGGCAGTATAAGTTTTTCAGCACAGACTAGTTGTATTAGTAATGGCATTATTAATATTATTAAATGAGGCAATTTTCAGTCATCTTAATTCCTTTATTTAATAATAATAAAAATTAAAGATCAGAAGCTAACTTGTTTTTAGTTTGTGTTTCAATATTCTGGAACACAATGAAAACCAAAGGTACATTGCTGAAACATGGTTTTGAAAAAAAACAAAAAAACAACAAAGACAAGGAAGTTAACCTGAAGGAGACCAAATAATTTTTTCATACTAAAATTCCCCGAATATAAGGAGATAAGCCATTCAAGGTAGAGGGACACTCTTAAAATAGTTATGATGAATGAGGTATGTGATATGAAAGAAAAAATAGTAGGGAGTGAAGATTATGAATTCTATTGGATTAACAATTTTGAGCTATTATCCATTACACCACCCAGTATTTCCAAGAGGTTACCCATCTGGGTTCTGACTAGAGTTGACATGGCTTAACTTTGGTGATTGTATGGGAACTGGTGAAAGATTATGAAGAGAAAGAGGATAGGTAATGATTGACCCTTGACTTGAAGAGGTTAAGATTGTAGTGTTCAGGAAAGCATCCACTTGGAAGTGTGTTCTACAAAGTGGCAGTTCTCTGAATGGAACTATCTTCTTACATTTGGAATACGGGGGAAATGAGGGTGATATGATTTTGTGGAAGAAGCATGACATGTTGAAGGTGTAAAGGTTTGAACTGCTGGAACCAAAAAATGGAAACAGGTCTGATCATTGAAAATATCGATAGACTTGTGACATTGTGACTGTGGGAAAAGGAGGAAAGAGTTGTCTTTGATTTTGTAGCAAACTGAGACAAAGTCACAAATCTACTCTTCCTTCTCCCCTCTTGTTTATTTTATATGTATTTGATGGTAAGTACACCAATCTGTAGACAGCACATCCAGGCTATTCCATCAATCATTTTCAGTTATGAACTATGAAAGGATTTTTATTTGTATCATGGAGAGTTGATGGCATTGGCAGGCACAGACAGTCAATCTTTTTGAAGGTAAGCGGATTTCTTTTGCACATATTTCAAAGTGCTGAAACTGAAATTAATCTACATTGAGTTGATTGATTGAATTGATTTATTTGGCATTATGGGTAATTTAATGTTGAAATTTAATTTTGAGGGGTGCTTTGAAGTATGTCATTCTGTTTTCACAATTGAATACATGGTAGATGATACTCAGATTTTGTACATATACATGTTTCTGGGGACATGATTACTAGAGGCAGTGATGTTTTATATTGTAGTTTTGTTGAAGTTACATTTTGGAAAGACTGATTTCTTTAAGAAATTGTAGATTATTATATGGATTAATGTCATGAAAGAGTTCTTTCAAGTTGGTTGTTTGGTTTTATTTAGTGGCATATCAACCTCTGTGGGCTGTTTAATGCTGAAATCTAAATATTTTAAACATAATTTTATGGTTTTGACTAAATATATTTTAAACATAATTGTATGTCTTCAACTACAGATAAAATGTATTGTTGGTCATTCCATAAAATTGTATTGCTAATCATTTTGATTTAAAATTATATTGTTGGTAATTTTATTATAAAAATGTATTTTTATGCTTTGATAGTGTTTTGTTTATACTATTTGACCATAGCTGTGACCCTAACATAGTACACCTGGGAACACTGACATTTAAGAAGTGCTTTGTTGCTTCTCAAAACTGGCAATCTGTTAATCAGAGGCCTTGCTGTCGGATGTAGTTACATTGAGTTGAAAAAGGAAAATAATTACAGGAATACGAATTCAGTCCAACACTGCTTTAAAGTTTTCTATTCTTTTTATATTAAATGTGAATTTAAGGAAATCAATTCCGCAGAAGTAAATGAAAAGAGGTTGCATCACTTTTCCATGGCAAATATAAATTTTTTAAAAGTAATTTTAATATTTGTTTTCTCTAAAAAGAACTCCAACAGGTAGACTCACCTTTAATGCCTCCAAAGATAAAAATCCATAATGTGATAGGAACAGTCTGGCAGTTTGGAACTCATGACAGATCCTGGAAGAAGGAATAAAATGGCAAAAGTTTAGATTAAAGTACCTTAGTTATCACTCTAGATATATTCCTAAAAAAATGCAATGCTAAACAAAACAGAATGATATTTCTTCCTTTTTTTTTTTTTTAAAAAATCATTTCCCTCCAGGCAAGGCAATAAAGCCATTATGGCACAAGGTCTTATTGTATGCTAGAGAATATGAGAAAAAACAAAACCAAAACCCTATTAAGGAGAGAGAGAACAATGAAAGAACAAGAATTAAGAAGATAGAAGATAATGACTAACATTGCATTTAAATTTTTGATGAACAAAGTTGACTGAGAAGCAAGAGAGTTCCACAAGCGAGAAGTACGAGAGAAGAAACAGCATAGAACTTACAATTACATTGAGCCATTTCAACTCTAAAATGATGAGAGCTAGCTGCCAATCTATTACTGCACCTAAATTCATTAAGTCTAGGTACCATAGAGGAATGTTCCTCAGAACAATTACCAGGAAAGTATTTATAGAAAAGGCACAGGGAAGTTACATTAAGGAGGTGGGAAAGTGACTTCAAGCCAAGATGCCATGTCAAGGCTGATAAAATTAAAAAAAAAACCTGCAATGTTATCAAGAATCTGAGCACTATCACCAGATATTGGGGTTTTCTTTATCCTGCTAAGGTAAACCAGTGTTCAATCTTTGCTGGATCTGTGTTAACTATTCAGTTATAGGTTCTAATTAAGGTTCTTTTTCATTGTTTTCTGCTTTATCCTGTTGGCATTCCCACATTTTTAAAAAGCAACTGGAAGAAAAAGCTTAACCAGTGTCATTGTAAGACTGATTCAGGATATAAAAAGGCCTCAAAACAACAACAAAAAAAAAAAGACATTTTCACAGCCAGATAACTAGGATCAAAGTGTAGTATCTGTTTCAGTTTGTACACTGCTCATGAGTGGTTTGTAACACATTTATGTGTGTAAATTCCTCTTTTGGGGTAATTTCACATTTTCTTATCATCTCTCAGTTGTGTCTCTGTCCTTGGACAGGGTGCGCTCAGGGGCTTCTCTGACAGAGGGGCAACTGAGGAAAATAATACTGAAGAGGTACCCAGCCCTGGGGAACAGCTGCCCGAAGCTGCGCCCTCTCATTGCACAAGAGGGAGGGATCGGTGCTCGCACCGAGGCCAGTGCAACCAACGGTTGCGGGGGCTGAGGGGAATTTTTGTCCCTGTACGCGCTCGGGTCCTCACATTAATCCAACCTTGTGTCACATTCTTGTGGGGGAATGAGTAAACACAGTAACACATTATTTATCATCTCTCAGTTGCATCTTTGTCCTTGGGCAGAGTGCACTCAGGGGTGACTCCATCAAAGGACAGAGTTGCAACGGAAGAAAATTATACTGTAAGGTGCCCAGCCCTGGCGAACAGCTGCCCGAGACCATGCCCTCTCACTGCACCAGAGAGAGGGATCAGTGATTGCAACCAATGGTTGGGGGGCTGCAGGCAATTTTTGTTCCTCACCTGGTTGTATGTGCTTGGATCCTACTTAAGAAATGAGCTTGTGTTACAACTTGTCTTAGTGTAGAGACAGAGTAAATACCTAGTATCTATTTCAGTAGCTGACAGTTGACCCACAGCATCATCTCCAGTGCGCCACCAGCCATCTCCAGTAGGCCTCCAGCCATTCTTGTCAGCAGCAACATATACAATAAACTGTCCTTTTCAGGACAACAGTTTTCAGTGACCACAAAACTGTCCTTTCCACCTTCTATATGAGCATGTTAAAATATTTTTTGCCTAATACAGAGTAACCTTATTTTTGTCAATGTATTTTCTTTAATGAAAATAAACTTTGCAATATATTTTTAACTCAAGTCTTTGTTTTGTTTGTTGTCTTCTGTCATTCAGTATCTGTTTGTGGGTCAATATACCACCTGCAACAACTTAAACCTTCTTTACAACCTTTCTGATAATGCTATAAGCCTCTTAAAAGGCATTTTCATGAGAGATCTCAAACAGCTACATTTCTAACTTTGGTGAAATTAAATAATACTTGTCATTACATGACCCATATAGATGTTGATAATCTATAAAAATCATATTTATTCCTATATTTAATGATATTTTATCTGGAGCTATTAATGCTTATTTATCTTTTCAAAATAATTTTGAATTCTCAATTTTGCAATAAAGTATTTTCATTTCTTCAGACTGGAATTGTTGAAGACCATGATTTAATTAGTTTAAGAATTAACATCCAATCCCAGTGCCAACTGTAGGCAGTTCTACTGCATGTTTGTAAAATCATATTTAAAAGGTGTGGCAAATGCATATCAGTACATATACGAAAGAGGCCCTGGATTGCAGCAGAACAGCTTGGCATGTTCTGATATGGGCCTCTCTGCAGTTTTCTGCCAATAAAAGTGACAGGAAAACAAGATTCGGTATCTTGTGAGGTCAGTCCCGTGGATTTGTTCCTAAAGTTGCTCTGCTTTCTGAGGCAGTGTCATTTTGTTACCGCTCGTCTCATTTCTTGTCTCTGCCTATTACCCCTGTAATAGCTGGGAGAGCTATAGTTGTTGTTTCCTCCAACCTCAATACACACTTAGCATAGTTTACAAAGTTATCATTTGTCAGTAAATAAAGTTTATCAGACAGAAAGCAGGGTCTGTTAAAATTTAATTAGTGTTAATTACTTACTTGGGTGGTTTACATTCAGTGATGGGATTTGGATGGACTTGATTCTTCAATTTCTCACTGTACTGTTCAGCGACTTTGTTCTCAAAAGCAACTTGTGTGTCAATGAGCTGCCTTAGCACATCAAGTTCAGCTGCTGTCTTCTCAGTCACAATAGACTCCATTGTTGGAATGCTCATCTCTCTGAAATAACATAAAAAGAAATTTAATTCATTTTTCTTTTAAATTTCTTTCATTTATTAAGAAAGTCCAGTTCTCTCTTTTTTTTAAACAATCTTGATATTTACTGCATTTTTAAAAAAGAAATACTTCAAGAATTTTTTTTTTTTTTAATAGCTAAATATTTATTTGGATGCACTCTTTAAAATATATGATTTGATTTGTTCGTTTAATGGCATATCAAGTATTTATGGGTCATTTAATGCCAAAATTTAATTTTCTTGGGTGCTTTGAAGTAGTAAGTGTTATTCAGCTTTCACAATTGAGTACATGGTAGATGATACTCAGCTTTTGTGCATAGAGATGTGTAGAACCCTGTTATAGAATTGCAGAAAAATGCTATAGATTTAAGTAGTCGGTGAAAACTCAGTTTTTTTTTTTTTTGTTTTACAAAATTTGATTTTACAGAAATTGACTCATTTTTGTGCATTTTGTAGACTGATTTGAATTTCCACATTCACATATATTAACCAAGCAGTGGCATCATATGAAACATACTATAGTCTTTGGAACTTCAAACAACAGCCTTTATTGTCTGCTATAATAATTTGTAAATTCAATTCAGAAAATGATGAACAATATTTCCTATCCTTAAAATAGATATTCAAAAATGGGGAAAAATATTTATTAACCAATAAACTTTGAGTTTAGTAAAATCTAACTTTTAGTGTCTTTGGCGCCAATTTTTCAGTTATAAAAGCAATCAGTCTGCAGAAATCAGTTTTTCAGTTAACCTTTAACCAGGGCTGTTTGTTCATTAAACAAGCTATGATTCTCAAACCTTAATTAATTACTCACATTTTCCCCATATTTATTCGAGTATACTATATTACAAAAAGTCTTAGCGATGTTGAGTTAAGGAACACCAAAAAAACATATGGACTGAGCAGTAGTAATAACACAGCTACTTTCACTGACAGCTCGCTGCCTATTGGCTGCCAACTGCTAGGAAATTACAAGCATACATAAAACTATGTAAATGCATGACACACTCATTCTCATAGAGATTCTAATTAGCAGGAGAAGGCTGGTCACACTTACAGATTAAAATGAACTCAACCCTGGAGCTCAATGTAGTAATTTACTAAGCTTAGATGTAGCATGAAGCTGAAAGTATGGAGCAACCAGTGAGGATCGAACTCACTACTCAGTTGTAAATGATCTTGAGAGACAAGCTTACTAACCATTACACCATGTTGAAGTGCTCAAACCCTGGAGCTCAATATAAGATCTTTCAATTTCTCCTGCCCAGCAAACCCTTGTCAGTCAGAACAAAGAATTGCTTCCTTCCATGTGTTTTTTTTTTTTTTATATTATACTCCTAACACCATTAATGCCTATCATTCCATTTTTGGGGCTGAATTTCTAAAGGTGACTGGATGCAATAAACATCTAAGATCATATGTGATGAAAACAACAAAAATAAAGATATTCATTTGAATAATAATGTGTGGAATAACGTTATAGCTTTTAAGTTCATCATGCTTTCAAGGTTGACAATGTAATCCTCAAAATAGATGTTAATAATTTTGACGGCCATATTATTGATCAGACTAACAAGATGTTCATCATGTGTATATTATAGTACTTCCTTTTATTTTTAAGGCTAATGACAATCATTTTTATAGAAACATGTATGAGAGAAGAAAGGAAATCTATGAAACATAAATCATTCAACAGGGTGATATATAATGAGAAAAGAAGGTCTGGAGAATCTAATACTGAAATAGCATATTGAAGGCCATGGTGAGAAATGTAAAATATCAAGTAACCTACTTAACGTGTTTGGGTGAATGGATAGCAGAACATACACAAAGGATAGTAAAGGGTCAGATAGATATGCGGGTAGCATATTGATTATCAGTACAGAGTATGGGATTGACATATTGAATTTAAATTCCAGCTGTCATTGTTGTGTCTGCTTTCACACAAATACTCTTGGAAACATATGTATCTATCTCCTCTCCCTTCTGTTAAGCTTAAAAGCAGCCAGACTGAACTCTCTTGCTTTGGTTGGCAACCAATCTTGGAACACACCACCAAATTAGTGTTTGTATTTTAAATTGACAAAGTCCTGCATTCTCATTTTTACTTAGGACTAAGTTGGAGTTTGTATATTTGAATTACTTTGCAAAATAAAACTTACTGGGGCTTTGATATTTTCCAGATAAGTCTTTCTACAGTCATATTTGGTGACAGAGAAGAAACTGATATCATAACAAATTAGTTGATATCTGTTTTCTTTCAAACTAATAAAATTGTAAAGTATTTTAGATATGGTTTATATTTGATATAAAACCTATAAATAAATTTAAAATAATAAAAATTAAAATAATATAAAGCATTTTTCTATTTGATTCAAGGCAGGTGAATAAATGACTGAATAATGTTCTCATAAAAAGGAATAGTTAACTTACAGTTTAGTAGGGACTATTGTCTCGACAATCTCAGGAAAGTATCGATGCTTTACATTATGTTTAAACCCAATATTTTCCATTGGTTGGGGACGCTGAACTTCAGCAAGATTTGAAGCATTCTGCAAAAAAAAAAAAAAAAAAGAGTAAAAAAAAAAAAAAAAAAAAATTGGAGCCAGAGTAAAAAAAAAAAAAAAAAAAAAAAATTACTCATGTTTGTTAGACATAAAATTTTAACATATACTGCTCATCTTTTTTATTAAAACTGTTGACCATTTTTTTTTTTTTTTTTTAAGAGACAAAATTTCAGTCGATCATCAGAGATACCACAAAGAGAAGTACGACAGTGTATGTGCAAAGAAATGAGATATACGCTTCTTTTTGTTTCACCACTTAGATATACTATCTAAATTTAAAAAAAAAAATATTTTCATCCCAAGCAAGGCAATAAAGCAACTAAGATGAAGGGGTTATTGAGTGTGAAAGAATATGAGAAAAACAAAACATTAAAGAGTGAGAACAATAAAAGAATGGGAATTAAGAAGACAGAAGATAACGATTAACAATCCATTTAAATTTTTGAAGATGAAAGTCGACTTTAAAGTCAGAAGAGAATTCCACAAGTGAGAAGTGCGATAGAAGAGACTGTTAGCATAGAACATATGGTTATCTAGGTAATAAAGAGGAACATTAACCAGAATTCCTTACTAATGTTCACCCTGTACAATGTGCAGAGAAATGAGTTCTATGCTTGTTTTTGTTTTACCACTGATCCTAATTACCCTGATATATACCATCTAAATATTATTTTTAATATATTTATCCCAAGCAAGGCAATAAAGCAACTAAGATTCAAAGGGTTACCGAGTGTGAAAGAATATGAGAAAAAGAAAAATAACAATAAAATAACAGGAATTAAGAAGATAATGATTGACAATGTATTTAAATTTTTGAAGATCATAATTGACTGGAAAGCAAGAAGCCAGAAGAGAGTTCCACAAGTACAAATACAGAGGCCAATCAAAAACAGTTGGTCCATTTCATCACAATCAACATTCCATTATGTAATATCAAACCAAATGAGCTGGAAATCCCTTTAACACATTGGCTCCCACACAACCCACCAGAGGGTCATGGTGGTATGTCTGCAAGGCCCATGATGATTATTGGGAGTGACATGCTATGATTGATTGCTTATGAGATCATGGTACATTAGAACTACATTTTTTTCCAAAAAATTTTAAATATTTTTGAATATAGACAGTGAGAGTGTCAATGTAATACTTGTATATTGGGAATTTTCCAATGACCCATGGTTGGGTTGTTTAGGACTTTGGCTTGTTAAATGGACTCAGGTACCGAATGACACACTAGGTGGGTTATGGGTAATAAATACTACCTATGATATCCTTGCCTCATGTATGAAACAATGTTAAAACAAAGTTGCTTGTACGAAAATTAAGATATAGTGTTGAGACCCTAGAAAGAAATGAGGCTTGGAAACCAACATGTTAAACTTGAACTGAACTTTGTCATATAGCAATGCTTATACTTGATTTTCAAAAATTGTCCATACTGTTTTTGCATAGTCAATCAAACCATTATAAATCTCAAGTAGTACCAGCATTAAAAATCTTCACCACAAAAAGACAGCACTATAGAACAACACTGGTAGTGATTTATAACAACTGATCCTGTATCGCTACAGTCAGGTTATGAAGCCATTTGAGAATTCACATGTATAATGAAAGTCTTCTTAAAATGTGCAGGACATGAATCATATGCTATCTTGGTACAAGTGTATATCATGTATGGCACTTAACTGACTGATTGACTATAAGACAAGAAATAATATACATCAAGTCATAACAACACAATACAAATAGCAACAGCAGAGAATAATGCATTTAGCAGGATATTATATCAATGATATAATGAATCAGCAGCAGACTTTTCATCACCGCCGACTCACCACTGGCCAACTGTCATTGGCTGTTATTGTGCACACATCTCAGATCAGCTTTGAGTCAAAGAGATTTTGAAAGTTTGGCTGTTTGTCTTAGTGATTTATTAGTTACAACAGCCAATTTGGCTGACTGGTGTTTAAGTTTCAGACTTTTCATTACACTGAAAATGGAAATTCTTAGTCAAAGAGGAAAAGAAAAATTTGCTCATGAAGGCCATTTATCTGTATTTGATAACTTTAGTAAAAGAGACAGCAATATAAATTTTGGCATTGTAACCAAGGCTCTAGGTGCAATGCAAAGATTCATACAAAGTTTGAAGTGGTTATCAGGGAAGTTTGGTTTGGTTTACGGCATATCAACCTCAATAGGTTATTTAATGCCGACAATTTTTATTGCTGGTAATTTTTTTTTTCAAAGAATGTATTGCTGGTAATAATTTTTTTACAGAGTATTCTGGTATTAAAATCTATTTTTACATTTTCATAGTGTTTTGTTCCTAATTTGGGGTCCAACTATTTACCCATAGCTGGGACCCCAACAGGTGCCACCAACCCGGGCCAGGATACACCTGAGAACACCAGCAACTAAGAGGTGGTTCCCTGCTCCTCAAAATCTCCTGATCAGAGGCCTTGCTGCAGGACGTGGATGTAGTTTATTGTCATACTCAGGATGGATCAGGGAAGTAAAGAAGCATTCCCACAATTCATCAGCAGCCAATGTAGACACCGCCCTCCCTCTAAATTAAAGAAGTCTATGACGGCAAATGAAAGAATTTTGTAGATTGTTTCTTCTTCTTCTTCAAAATGATCTCCAACTGAATATTTGAAGGGAATTGTAGACAATTTCCAATAAATTTTTAAATTATAAACAAAGCCATCTATTAATTAAAAAAATGATCCTTAATAAAATACTTTTATTCGGTTTTAAAAATGATCCTTAATAAATTACTTTTATTTTTTAAAAAGTTAATGTAAAAATTACATAGTTTGCGTTGTGATGAGTTGTCCTGCATCCATAATAAATCAAACTTTAGAGATTGAATTGAATGTTACTTACGTCTTGACTTCGTGGCTGGTGTCTCAGTTGCATGGTCCATGCATGACGTCCAAATGGGCCACGTATAAGAGCAGTGACAGTGGGCAAAGGATCTGTTAAAGAAAAAAAAATCATTTTTATACATTTTTTTTCTATGCGAAAGGAACAAAGAGGACAGGAAAGTCGTAAAATTCTTGTTCTAAATATTCAAAGACAATGGTTGGCTACTACTTGTCATTGCTTCACCTGCTTCCTAGCTAACAAATCCTGATTACTGACACCTGCTCAACCCACAGAGTACACCTGTGATTTATACAGCAACTCAGCGGATCTTAATTACAGAGAGAGAGAGAGCGCATAATCTGGCGGCATAAATTTTTTTTTTTAACAAATCTAGCATGTGCAAATCCTCGGTCACAATGACTTGTGACTTTGTGCTAGCCCAACTATCAACTGCTTCCAAACAGTTCCATCTATCCAATTTCACTCACAAGGGTTGGGTTAACCCGTGGTATGATTTTAAAGCACTTTCTAAAGTTGCTACCTGCTGGGATCACCTTCCTAGGCTAATATTATCAAGAAGTCACCTCCCTGACAAATCAACGATGGTGAGAGTTGAACCTGGGTCTCATGGCCAGAAAGCAAACATCTTAACCACTTGGTCACGTTTTTAAAGTAAAATTAAATTCTTAGAATTCTCATATGTAACCAAACATGTGAATCAAAAACTTTGACTGCTGAAAACTAGCAAAAAAACGTTATTGTTTTTCATGATTACATTTGTGGTTGCAGAGTTTTTTTTTGGTTGGTTGTTTTCGTTTAGTGACATATAAGTAGCGGTGCTATAATTGTTAGCAGCTTGGATTGAGGAATCAGAGAGCCGAGTTTGAATTCTAGTTGAGCTCATTACATTTCTTTACGTGCTAATACCCTTGGGAAAGGTATGAATCCATTTCTTCTCCAGCTATGAGCAAAATAGCAGGACAGATTGGGTCCTATAGCCTTGGTTGAAAGCCAGTTTAGGAGAAGGAAAAGTCTGAATTCAAACTAGTTTGGAGAAGGTTGGGCTTCGTCAGACTATTTTGCCCAAGACGAACCACATGTACTGCAGCTGCAGTACATGTGGTGCCCCTACAACCCTGATGGGTTACGGGGCTCGTGATTGTAATACAAACCTCTATGGGTTATTTAATGCCGAAATCTAAATGTTTTGTATGCAATTTTTTATTTTTGGAGATAATAATGGTTTTAGTGTTACAAGTCTTACTATTTAACCCATAGTTTGGGGGAGAAGAGGTGGATAATTACCTTTATCCATTACACCATTTAAGCTTACAGCACCTGGTATCCCCAAGTTACAGAGTAATTGCTGTAGCTGATGATGCATGAGTAACTTCAGGCATTTAGATATTGTGAATTTTACAAGTACATATATATGCTGGTCAACAGTAGGTATAGTGTATGAAAAACTAGCTCAAGATAAAGCAAGATTCTTTCACATAAGGTTGAATTTGGACCAACAACCATCTCTGTGTCAATTTAATCTTTTCAAGAAATTAATTGACTCTGAGGATATATTTTAAAGATTTTCTGAAAATCTGAATCAAGGGACAAAGCTACATATGAAAGTTCAGAAAACTTCTTGGTCCAAACAAGATTAAAAAAAAAAAAAAAAAAAATTACACACTGTCCAACCCAGGGATTGAACTCATTTAAATATAATACAGTAGATTCTTTTCTTATATGGAAAATGACTAAGATAACCAATCTGGTGCAAATGATTTTTAGTGCTTGGATATTTTGACTATCCTGTGTATCATGTAACACTTATTATTCTCAAACAATGTATTGATTTGGTCAACTCGACTCCAACTAGCATAGCATTATTCATTAAGAATTTTTCACTTTTAATATGTTCAAAAATTCAGAATACTTTTTCTATAAGCTGCAAATATACTTTTTCATTTTTGACATTTGAGTTATATTTTTACCTATCTTAAAATAAAAACTAAATATGCAAAAAACGTTGCTTATTTTCTTACATCTTGAATATTAGAACCATTCAACATAAATATGCCATTTCTAATAATTTAAAAAAATATGCAAGCTGGTATAACGGCTGTCACAATTCAATGGAAAGTAATTTAAAAAAAAATAGTTAAAACTAAACGCTCCTCATGCCATCTAAGGAGAAAAACAAAGATCTTTTTGGTCAACCCAAGACCTTTCATTTACTATGAAAATGCTTAAACATTTTTGTATAAAAAGACAAATATGCTACTGTTTACCTTGTACATTTCCCAGTGGTTGTTCAAGGAGGCCAAGGATGATGGAATTTTCAAGGACAAAATAACGGAATGGTGATCCATGTTCAGGTAGGGATGTCCCTCTGGCATATTTTAAGAGAGCCTGCTCATCAAGTAGAGAGAATAAGGACTCTGGTCCACAGGGGGGAGGAAATGCTCCCTAGAAAAACAGAGAGAAAAAAAGTAGATATTTTAAATGATAGTTTTATACAATTATAAAAGGAACAGCCCAACAAGCAAATTACAAATTGGAGATACCAAAATCAAATAAGTGCAACAATTTAGATATCTGGGAAGCATATTAACAGAGGATGGAAAGTGAAATCTAAAGGCAAGTTGGCATAGCAAAAGATGCCTTTCAAAATCTGAGAAAAGTATTAAGAAACAGAAAAATACCATTACAAACAAAGAAGAGAGTACTGAACGGTTATGGAATATCAGTCCCCCTGATATGGCTGTGAATGCTGGACAATCTTCTCACAGATGAAGAAGAGACATGAAGCAACAGAAACAAAGAAAAGACTCCTGAACTGTTATGTAATATCAGTCCTCTTATAAGGCAGTGAATGCTGGACAATCTCCTCACAGATGAAGTGGAGACATGAAGCAATAGAAATGTAGTTCTTCAGAAGAATGATGAAATGCCATGGACCAAACATGTGAGCAATGATGAAGTTCTAGAGACAATAGCAACAAAATGGACACATACTTAACATCAGGAAGAGACAGTTGAAATTTCTGGGGAACATAATGAGAAAAGAGGGCTTGGAAAATTTGATACACACAGGACAGATTGAAGGTAAGAGACAGATGAAAGCTATGCATAACCTACCTAGTGTAACAATACAATTTCTCATGCATCCTTAGGAGATAAGTAGATATATTCTTTTCTCTTTTAAGTCAATTTAATTGCTAGAGTTTTCAGGATTTCTGTCTCCAGCATGTCTTTGAATTGGCAAATGTAAAATTTTGTTTGTGATTTTAGATAATCATAAAAGAGTCCTTTGAAAAACTGACCACCCAAAAAGCTGAATGGATGGCTCTACTGTTCTGGAACACAAAGGATGGATAGGAGTGGTGGGAGCTCAGCTGGTGTCCATATAATGAGTAGTCACATGAGCAGAGGGACAGTGAGTGACCAGCAGTGAGTAAGGAAAGATGGTCAGTGAATGTAACGGTCCTTTTTCCATGACAGGAAGTTAGTAAGATAGCAGTCCACCTTCACAAAGCTGAAGGACAATATCATGGTTAAGTGAGAAATCGTATTGTTCCTATTACTCAACCAGGGTCTTGAAAAACATTTGTCATTATTCTTTGTTGAATTCAATCACAGCCAAGGAGACAAATCAGTGAAAACAGCTAGCTGGGTGTATATACACATAAAACCAACCTTGGATTTTACCACAGTTGTGCAGTGAATGACGTGTGGAACAAGTCATCACACTGGTAAGCTTGAGTGAATGGGTAGCAGAGCAGGATTTGGGAGAGATGGCAAAAGGACAAAAGTTATTGAGAGCTACAAAGGACAGGAAATTGTGGAGAACCATAATCACCAAAATCCTAAAGGGAAATGACACATAGAAGAAGAAAAAAAGAAGCTGCGTGAATGGTTGGCAGAACAGGAAATAGGGGAGATAACGAAAAGACACAATTTAATAAGAGCTACAAAGGACAGGAAATTGTGGAGAACCATAATCACCAAAATCCTAAAGGAAATGACACATAGAAGAAGAAAAAGAAGCGTGAATGGTTGGTAGAACAGGAAATAGGGGAGATAACGAAAAGACACAATTTAATAAGAGCTACAAAGGACAGGAAATTGTGGAGAACCATAATCACCAAAATCCTAAAGGGAAATGACACATAGAAGAAGAAAAAGAAGCTTGCGTGAATGGTTGGTAGAACAGGAAATAGGGGAGATAACGAAAAGACACAATTTAATAAGAGCTACAAAGGACAGGAAATTGTGGAGAACCATAATCACCAAAATCCTAAAAGGAAATGACACATAGAAGAAGAAAAAAAGAAGCTTGCGTGAATGGTTAGCAGAACAGGAAATAGGGGGATAACGAAAAGACACAATTTAATAAGAGCTACAAAGGACAGGAAATTGTGGAGAACCATAATCACCAAAATCCTAAAGGAAATGACACATAGAAGAAGAAAAAAGAAGCTTGCGTGAATGGTTAGCAGAACAGGAAATAGGGGAGATAACGAAAAGACACAATTTAATAAGAGCTACAAAGGACAGGAAATTGTGGAGAACCATAATCACCAAAATCCTAAAGGGAAATGACACATAGAAGAAGAAAAAGAAGCTTGCGTGAATGGTTGGCAGAACAGGAAATAGGGGAGATAACGAAAAGACACAATTTAATAAGAGCTACAAAGGACAGGAAATTGTGGAGAGCTTCAGTTCATTTCTTCTCTTGCACTTCTCGCTTGTGGAATTCTCTTCTGGTTTCTTGCTTTCCAATCAACTTTCATCTTCAATAATTTAAATGCCATGTAAATCGTTATCTGTCTCCCTAAACCCTGTTCTTTTATTGTCCTCTCTCTGTAATACTGTTTTTTTTTTTTTCTCAGTTTTTTTCACTCAGTAACACCTACTGTCTTGGAGTAAAATGAATAAAGAAAAAATACTTTAAATAATTTGAAAACAATTTAAGCAACTTACGACTTGGTCGATGATACATGTGAGAACCTCCTCGGCAGCATCTTTAACTCTCATGGAGGCAGGTTTCAATTGCTTCTCTCCTTTGTATTTTGGGATATCAGTGGCACGGTGCTGTAAAAGATAAGCAAAATTGTGATGATTTTATAGAAGGAAAAAGCATCACACTCCAGCTGAGCATATGTTAAATAAATACATGGAAATACACAAATATGAGAGCTCTGCACTTCATACTGTTTTGTAGATGAAAAGATCGAAATGCATACAAAGAATAATTAATAATGATGACAATATACTTTATGAAGAAGACATAAGAATCATTTTTATGCAAATTCAAGAAAAAGTTTATGCTGGATATTGTATGGGTTGAATCAAGTTTAAGAAATAGAACTGAAAAATAAAGACAAAAAAATGAACAGAAGATTTTGCTTAGCATTGAAAAAAAATGGTAAAATTAAGGAAAGGGAAAAAAAGAAAGTCTGTAAAATACAGAGAAAATAAACAAAGGATTATACTTAAGGGTTCATTGATAAGTAAGGCCTCCTACTTATTGACCATTATTTTATTTTTATTTAGCATATCCATAAATATATTTTTTATGTGGGATGTTGATAAAATAACAAGACACATTCAGTATTTTAGAAAACGACATTCCCTAACCTACAATTTAGCTATATATATATATATATATATATATATATATATATAAATAATAAATAAAATAAATCCTAATGAGCCAGGTACTATCTACCTAGGTTTCACTATATGGGATCATCAGGGTGAACTGGCTCGGAGGTTTCTCGTGCTTTCTTTTTTTTCTTTCCATTTTTCATCAGATGTCAGTTTATTTGAAAATTGTGCTATCCAGGTTTTTTCACCCACTGAGTTTATATATATATATATATATATATATATATATATATAAATAAAAATAAATAAATAAAGGTGTATTTAGGCAATAAGGATTCATCAAAATAAGTTTTATTCAATTCAATTGACAAGTTTTATTTATTTAATTTTTTTATTATACTTTTCCAATTTCCGAATATGATGACGTATATTGGGATTGAAATTATGAATAAATTGTCCAAAGTTCAGTTTTAGTTGCTAATAATGAAGAGAGAAACATGTTTGGACATGAATTTATGAAGTCCTGTTCAAATGTGCATAGGGTCACTTCATTGTAGGTCAGCATTGAGTAAGACTAGAGTTGATTGATAAGTAACATCTCTTACCTGGTAGGGTTTTTAATTATGGAGATAGAAACATGTTTGGACATGTATTAGTATCCAAAGACTCAACTATGGTGGGATGGACATATGGTGGAATACTGTTTTTCAAAGACATTTCTATTCAGAAAATTAGCCTCTGAGAAATAGAGAAGAAAGTCCCTACAAAATCAATACAAGAACTCTTTGAAATAACCCTCATCTCCTGTGGATTCACTCACCATCAGTGAGAAACAAAGGTTGTTGTCAAAGCAACATAGAAGGAGAGAATGTATTGAGCAACTTCCCCTTGGTGAGTTAAATAGCAGAAAAAGAGCGGAAGTAGCAGTAGATACAAATATTTTTATTTTTCTCAGTGTTTATGATAAGTTTAAATCTTATAAAAAATTGATATCTTGGAAGAGCATTAGACTGAAGATCTAAAGGGTTCAATCCTGAATTTTATCATTGATAAAGATGATTTTGTTAACCACTGAGTTGTTTAGTAGCTGTGACAGATTTGAGCATTCATAAACAAAAGTAATTAACACATATTGTCATAAGTGGAATTAGCTCAGAAGTGCATTTGACAGAAGCTCTAAAGGGCTTCTAGATTTCAGTGGCAATACTGAATAGTATATGTCTGTGATTCATGGAGTTTGAAACACCTGTGGATTGAATAAAGGGTTCATTTAAAAATCTTTACTATGACAACAGACATCTGAAGATGACCCAAGGGTACAATAGCCAAAATGCTGTGAGTATAATAACAAAGATGAGCATGCTGGTCTTTGCAGTAAAATCTTTTGGGTTTAGTCTTGGCAGAAAAATCTTTTGGATTTAGATTTAGCAGTAAAATATTTTTGCTTTATTCTTTGCAGTAAAACCTTTTGGATTTAGTCTTAGCAGTAAAATATTTTTGCTTTAATTTTGGCAGCAAAATATTTTGGATTTAGTCTTGGCAGCAAAATCATTTTTGCTTTAGTCTTGGCAGCAAAATTGTATTGGTTTAGTCTTATTAAACAAGAAAATAAAAAAAGTAAAAGTGACTATGGCTAATAGTAATCCAAAATGAAGTTAATAAATCTGTTAAGTTCTATTCTATGGACAATATTTGTTAGCCATAAGGATTGAACTTAAATCCTCCTGGTTTAAAAATGAATGTTTTGTTGGATTAATGTGTCTCCCTTGCTGGTTCATCCCAAGTAGCTCAATTTAAGCTAGTTGTTTTCTTTAGTAAAAAAAGACTTTCAGTTTCCTGGTGAATTCTTGACAGAGTAATTCAGGAGTAAACAGACTTTCTGTTGCTGGATAATGTCCCTAAGAGAATTTAACAAAATCAATACAAAGGGAATGATTAACCTTCATCCATGAGTAGGAAAAAGTGAAACAATGTTTGGGATTAATACTACTTCTGGTGGATGTCATGTTCGAACACTGGTTCTCATCTGATCACCTAAGTTAAGCAACATTGAGCCTGGTCAGTACATAGAGACTATCAAGGGCTGTAAGCTTAGATGTGTGGGTGGTATAATGGATAGCGGCTTGGAATGAAAAATTGGAGGGAGAGCCAAGTTCAAATTCCAGTCGGGTTTGTCACATTCACTTACACACAAATACGCCTGGAAAAGGTATAAATCCATCACTTCTCTGTTCATGCTATGGGTTAAATAGTAAGACTTGAAAATCATTATCTTCTAAAAATTGTTCTTCCAATCTAAAAATATGTTTTAGCTTTAAATAACCTGCAAAAGGTTGATAAGTCATAAAAAATGATCCAATCAATTCTGTTAGCTGTCACTAATACAGTTGTGATTCAATTCATGCCTTAGTAGTTATTTTTTTTTTTTATGACAAAACATTCTAAGAATGTACTAATGCCACTTCTACTCTTGGACATGTCTTGAACTCAAGATTCTAAGGATGTAAAGGAGACCATAATTTAATTGGAAATTACTTTCTTGTGTAGATGCGATTACATGAGATTAGTTCTTGCCCTTTGCTGAACATATAAACTGAACAGTGGAGGAGGAGCATTATTGCTTATATTTTGTTTTTGTTCACAAGCATTTATAATAGACAGTGACAAGTTGTGATGTCCATGCACTTGATAGGATGCCAGTAATTAATGAGATAAGACGATTCTTATCTAACAGCAGAGAGTGGAGAAAGAAATTGGAAAAAGAAAAGAAAAACCACTCCACGCAGCTGTTATGAAGAGAAAAAAATGATAGGCTTACATGAAGAGCAAAAATCTATTTTCCCTTGCACACCTGAAACTGACTAGGAAAATAAATTCTCTTCATATCTATTATGCTTTTATCTCAATAAAAAAAATACCAGTATATTTTTATTATTATTTTTCATTTGTATTCATTCATTCATCAATGAACAGAAAGAAAGTCTATAACACACAATATTGTCATTGAAACAATTTCATAGTTGAAATTTGATTTTTATGAATGTTACCCTAATCAAAAAAAAGAGTATAATTCTTTATGAAGAAATTACTTTAAAAGCCTAGTCATAACAATATTAACTAATATAAACACATGTCAAAAACATTATATCACTAACTTTTATTGAATCCATTCTTAAAGAATCTAATATATTTATCTAAAACAAACAGTATGTATATAAAAACGATCCCAAATTAACATACAAAAAACCAACAATGTCTATAAGACACAAACTTACGAATATACATTATCATCTGAAACTCACATAGACAAACTAGAATTATCATGCACTTACATACAATATTTACAGTTTTTCGGATAGGCTTAGAATTCATTAATTTCTTGAAACTTTGGATGGATGCATTGTCTCTCCTTGAATTTGGAATGCCACAAATTATACTAACATTGGATTAAAAAGTCAAATGCACATGAAACATGATTAACCAATGAAAATCAATCGACACTAAAATAAAAATACTAAAATTTTTTTCTTCTTTTTCTCCATATTTCATTTGCTGGGGAAACTTTAATAAAAGTTAAAAAATTTAGATTGATAAATGTTATCTATTTGTTATCTGTCCATATTTCTGAGATGAGGTATTGTAATTATTTACACTATTTACATTGTTTGGACTGTTGTCCTCTTCTTTGTTGTCATATTCACAATGTTTCCTCATAGCTGATTTTCTACCTCCTCCTGCTATAGCAACCCAATGAGAAGATGAGGTTACCACTATGTAAAATACAAAACTCAATTGCATTGAATAAACAATTATAGGTAATGGAATGAGAAAATAGAAAAAAAGGACTTCTAGAGATCTCAAAATGAAAGAGGTCTTCAAGACGTCCCAACTCTAAGTTTAGTTTAAAAAACAAACTCAAATTGTTGATCTGAATAGAAAGCCTTCATGGAATTACTGAATGAAAATTGAAACTATACTTAATATGTTCTTATTCTGATTTTTAAAGATTTATTTATAAAGTGTGGCAAAAATCTTTTCCAAGAAATTTAAGATGAATCAAGTTTGATATATTTTCTTTAATAATTTCTGATTTGGTATTCATTCATCAAACAACAGGACAATCTTGCTTTACAAATGCACTTTTCTAGGGATTCAATTATAAAAGAGATGTTAATCCTTTTGACAATAAGACACACTCATCTTTTTGAATGAGGATGCAAAATCATTTTGGGAATGGAGGTTTGATCTCAGGGAGACTAGAAAGGAGAAAAAAAAATAAATGAAAAATGTATGCTGCCCATGTCTGCACTACCCAATAAATAATGCAAAGAAATTTGAAAATTATCAATGATTCTAGTAGTAAGCAAGGTGTGTGCGTGTATATATATATATATATATATATATATATATATATATGGGGATACATTTTGCATATTACAACAATTTCAACTGCTATCTTTGTACCATAATAGTCAATACATGGAGAGTATGAAATGCATATGCAAATGTATAACTATTATGGGACTGTATTAATTATGACCTGTCCCATAAAAGTTGGTACACTGAGAATATGAAATGCATATGTACCAACTATTATGGGACAGAGGTAGAATTGTTTATGACCTGTTCCATAATAGTCAGTACACTGAGTGTATGCAATGCATAAACAACTATTATGGGAAGGATTAATTATGACCTGTCCCATAAAAGTTGGTACACTGAGAATATGAAATGCATATGTACCAACTATTATGGGACAGAGGTAGAATTGTTTATGACCTGTTCCATAATAGTCAGTACACTGAGTGTATGCAATGCATATGCAACAACTATTATGGGAAGGATTAATTATGACCTGTCCCATAAAAGTTGGTACACTGAGAATATGAAATGCATATGTACCAACTATTATGGGACAGAGGTAGAATTGTTTATGACCTGTTCCATAATAGTCAGTACACTGAGTGTATGCAATGCATATGCAACAACTATTATGGGAAGGATTAATTAGGACCTGTCCCATAAAAGTTGGTACACTGAGAATATGAAATGCATATGTACCAACTATTATGGGACAGAGGTAGAATTGTTTATGACCTGTTCCATAATAGTCAGTACACTGAGTGTATGCAATGCATATGCAACAACTATTATGGGAAGGATTAATTAGGACCTGTCCCATAAAAGTTGGTACACTGAGAGTATGAAATGCATATGTACCAACTATTATTGAATTGTTTATGACCTGTTCCATAATAGTCAGTACACTGAGTGTATGCAATGCATATGCAACAACTATTATGGGAAGGATTAATTAGGACCTGTCCCATAAAAGTTGGTACACTGAGAGTATGAAATGCATATGCAAATGTATCAGCTATTATGAGAGAGAAATAGTACTATTTAATATCAATTGGTCAAAAATATGTTGTCAAATTCCAATAAAAACATTTGATCAGATAATAATTCCTGAAAGTTTTGTTCTTTGATCTATGGTCTATTCCTGTACAGAAACCAACAGATGACCATAGCATGTTATTTATTTGCGAAGAGGAGGCTATATTTGGAGGAATAATTACAAGTAGGTATATCACTAGGTTAGTGATGATCAGAAAACAGAAATAAAAAAGCAGAAAGTGGAGAGAGAGATAGTAAAGAGGAAAATATTTAACAATACTGCATGTTAGCAATTCTTAAACAAATGTAAATATATTTTATCTTGAACAGAATATCATTAACAAAGAATGTTAGAAACTGGTGAGAAAGCTTACTTGTCTGTATTAATTGAAAAAAAAAAATGGCTTATGTTTACAATTTTATACAGTCTGAATCAGTGAAATATTTAGTAAATGGAGTTGAAGTGATCCACATGAAAACTTTTCAAGTGGTGGTTTTACAGACATCAATAAAAAACAAAAACAAAAAACATGGAAGACATTACAAAAGCAATGGTAATATCAATAACAAGTATAAGGCAGATATAAAATGAGAAACAAGATTTAAGACAAGGGTCGGCAACCCCCGGCCTCTGGGACACATCTGGCCCACAAAGAATTTTTCTTCAACCCACAAACTGAAGTGTAACTCAACCAAACAAAGTTACTCTATTATTTTTTTCTTTCCTTTCCAGAAATCTTTTATTTTGTCCAAACAATAACAAGCACATGGAAACTAAAAAAAAAAGAAAAAAAAAAAAAAAAAAAAAAAAAGAAAAGTGGATTTTGTGTACCAAAATCTTAACGAAAGCTGAATAAATAGCTATTTTTTTCATTGAGCACTTTTGAAAATGTGTTTGCTTAATTTGTCAAGAAACCATTTCAGTAAAGAAAGTTTCTCCAAACCAAGGCAGCCTTCTGGATGAAGCGATCTGAGGTGGAGACAATTTATTATAGCACATTTGATATCATGGCCATACTCCAAGACATTGCTTAGCTGTCTGGCCTACTCTCTACAAAAGGTTGCCGACTCCTGATCTAAGACAACAATTTTTATACAAATTCAGAACACTTGACTTTTCAATATATATACAGCAAAAAAATACTATTAATGACAGCAGCTGTTTCAGAAAAGACGGTGCACTTCATTTTCTGTGGCTAGAATGAAAGTGTCTGTCTTAAAAGTTTATACATGGCATGCAGTTTCTGAATAATAATAATAATAGTTACTATTTGTAAATTGGTAATATTTCAAGTTCAATGCATTTTTACTTTAAATTCATTGTTATTATAATAGATAACAAATAAGTTTCATAATTTTAAATAATAAATAAAATAATTAAAGTTATATCTAATGTATAAAGCTTAAAGTGTGTTCATATCTACTTGAAATCCTGAAAATTAATTGACTATATATAAAGTTGGTTGAGTGAATGTGCAAATATTATGAAAAATTGGGATATCAAATAAATATGGTTTTATCATTTATATCTACCAGCATGTGTCATATATCTTGCCCAACTTATCAGCTCATGCCTGATGGAGATAGCTAATTTAAAAAACAAACAAACAAAACATCTACAGCTTAAAAGTTTACTTTGATGAACCTGGGATTAAACAAAGAGATACATTCTTGCTCATAACTTCAGAAAGTAAATTTGTTTTGAGTTTTCACATTTCTCAAAGAGGCTTACGTGTATACCACATTGAAACACCAGTTCTCATACAATCATCGAAGTTAAGCAAGATTGAGCCTAGTCAGTACCTACAGGGGTGACCAGCTTAGGAATATCAGGTGCTGTAAGCCTGGATGTTTAGGTGGTGTAATGGATAATGGCTTGGAATTGCTAACTGGAGAGTTGAATTCCAATTTCGGTTGGGTTCATTATATTCACTTACATGCAAATATCCTCAGGAAAGGTATGAATCCACCTCTTCTACCCCCAGCTATGGGTTAATTAGTAAGACTTGTATCAGTAAATCATTATTATCTCAAAAATATAAATAAATAAAAAATATTCTTACAATCTGAAAATATTTTCAAGTTTTAAATGGTTGCAAAGAGTTGTTAAGCCGTAGAAAATGAATCAATCAAAACAACTCTTGATAGGGAAGTCTTGGCTTATTATATCAGGTCATCTTATAAGTTCTGTCCGAATTTTAACTTTTTGTTAAAATGAACAAAATTTAAAGAGTATTTTATAATGTCTAATGGAGCTGAACATTATTTTGATGCATTTAAACTGATCAAATTTTATTTCAGAGAATAATAAAATTAAATTTTGTTTGATTAAAACCCTGCTAACATGGAAGTACCCAAGAATCATTTGAGGGACATAATGCTTTATGAGTTCAAGAAAGAAAACTCAACAGCTGAAGCCGCTAGAAACATTCACTCAGTTTATGGAGAGGAATGTGTGAATGAAAGAACTTGCAGAAGATGGTTTGCAAAATTCAGAGGTGGAGATTTCATCCTTGAAGATGAAGATCAAACCGGACGTCCAGTTGAGTTTGATGAAAAGCTTCTTGAAGCAGCCATTGAAGAAAATCCTGCTTTATCAGTGTTATGGTGAAACACACCTATTCTATAGTTAATAGACTCTCCCACCTAATATAAGTAGGAGTAGTAAGAGAAACGAAGATCAGTCGATGTCGGATGACAGGAGTCGACAGTTAGTTGAATACGAAAGTAGTCAGCGACCACAACAAGTTTACTCTGCGTAATACCTATTATATCAAGTTCCTAACGTTTTGTACGTCGAACCAATTTTAGGACTGATTTAGTACAAATACAAGCCTCCACTGCAAAATAAATCCACAACAATCAGTTGAGGAATTGGCAGTGGTTCTCAGTTCAAACCATACTCTTCAACAACTTGGAAAAGTTCCTAAACTTGGAAAATGGGTGCCTCATGAATTGTCTGAAAACAATCTCAAATCCCGAGTTGATATCTGCTCTTCTCTCCATTCTCACCAACTTGTTTCACCTTTTTTGGATAGACTTGGGACTGGTGACGAAAAATGGATCTTTTATCGAAATGTTAAGCATTGTAGACAGTGACTTGGTAAAGGGGAAGGACCCCAGCCACAGCCAAGAAGGGAACTTCATGGGCAAAAGGTTCTTCTTTCAATTTGGTAGGATCGCCAAGGAATAATCCACTTTGAATTCTTACCACCTAATGCAACAATGATTGCTCAAATAAACTGTCAGCAATCAGGGCGTTTGAACCAAGCTTTGAGGAAAAAAAGACCTGCTCTAGTGAATCAAAAAGAGGTGATGTTTCATCAGGACAATGCGCGACCCCTACATAGCAAGAATCACATCCCAGAAGATCGAAGAACTTGGTTGGGAGAAAATTCCTCATCCACCTTATTCTCTCGATCTTGCTCCTTCAGACTACCATTTGTTTCATAGCTTACAGAATCATTTGGAAGAAACAGCTTTTTTTGTAGCATGGAAGAGGTTAAAACTGACATTTGTGAGTTCTTTGAATCAAAGCCAAAAGAATTTTACAGTAATGGAATTAGTAAGTTTGTTAATAGATGGAAGGAAGTCATAGATAATCAGGAAAATACATTGTTGATTGAATCTGTAATTAAATGTAACATTTGGTCACTTGTTTTCTTTATTCAAAATTCGGACAGAACTTATGGGATGACCTGCTATAATACAGCAAGTGTTTTGTCTCATGTCTTTAACCTTTTACTACACAGGACTTATCTCCCTTGCAGTGATAATGGGCCTCTCTGCAACTTGTCCAGATCTGGGTCTTTATCAACTGTCTTATGTCAATAAAAGCGACCAAGAAGCAGTTGGTGAGACTCTGTGTCTTGTGAAAACATTCCCTTGGCACATTTTATTCTGGAAGTTGTGTGGCCGCCCGCACTGCTATGGTTTCTGAGGCAGTGGCCTCACTAGTCATTACAAAATTTTATTTTGTTTCCTCCCATCTTTTTCTCTTCTCTGCTTGTTACTACCATAATTCTTAAAAGAACAATTGGTTAAGTGTTTCCCCCAACCTCAACACACCCTTGCCTTATTTTACAACAATTTTCAACACTAGGACTTCTGGAATTGCTATAAAACACACAAAAGCATATTTTTCTTATCTAAAAGATCAGATTATTGGAGAACACATTAACAGAAATATGGGAAAAAAAGTAACAATGAATTTTAGTCTGAATTAATGATTCCCAATAAAATAAATGTACAAAAATTGCTTCTTTTTTTATATTACAAAAGTAATTCCCTCTGTAGATAATTACTATAATGATAATCCTTATATTCTATAAGGATTATCATTAACAACAATTTTCATATCCAGTAAAGTTTGGACCCTCAACTCTCTTCTTAATACTTAATGCTGTTAAGGTTTGGCCAATTCATTCTTCAGCCATTTTCAAGTATAATCCATGAGAACAAAGTAAACCTGTTTCTTCAAGAAAGAAGAAAAAAAATGGTGGACTTTGTCCATTTCATAATGTGTGACATCATTTGTTTACATTTGGATACGCATCAAGCAGATATGAATGTATGAGAGAAAATCATGGAGAATTGTAGTTTAAAAATAGTAAAATTGACCTTGCTAACCGAAACGTTCCTCTGTGGCTCAATCAGTAAAAGCACATCAAGCTATATGACGGTTCCGTATAGGATACAGCTTAGATTCCTGTCAGAGGACGCATATTTTCTATGAAAATTTCTCAGACATTCAGGCCGGTAGATGTTGTTAATACCGTTTTATTATAAACAGAGCATTTACTTAAATATTTGTATCTATAAAAAAAGAACGTATAAACATAAAAAAATGTCTTATGGCATCTCCTTTAGCTCCCTTATGGGAATTGTATAAAGAAATGATTTCAATGTCTGAACAATGTTTGATGTGTTAATAATTCTCCTCAATGTTGTAAATGAAAATGATTTTTATAATATACTGTCACCTGATGACAAAAATTATTTTGTCTCATTTATGAGAGGGTGCTGAAAAGTTCTCAGGACAACCAACAAAAGGTTCCAAAATAAATTCTGGTGTTTGATCTTTTGGCCAAATTTTGGAAAGGGAACCAAGCTGAGAACCGTTCTGCCAACATTACAGTTTTTCTTAAAAGTTATAAAAATGTTCACAGAAAAGTTATTTCCTTATTTTTAAGCATCTGAAATTTCTGATGAATTATTTTCTTTCTTTTACATCACAGTCACTCATTGTGATTACTTTTTAGCTACTGGAGTTATTCTTGATTGTGAACCAATGATTATATTTTAACATGTACAGATTAGCATTAAGATAAAATTTTTGTTATATTATTGAAAATTATTTCCCTATTTGCATATGGCAGAAATTTAATTTTGAAATTATACAAATGTAGACAAACATGCAACATTTATTTGTTCAGGAAACCCAGACACCGTATTGAACACGAAAACAACACAGATTAAGCATTTTATATATATATATATATATATATATATATATATAGACACGAGTTTTGTTTGATTAGTACGAAAACATTCACATTGTTGCTAAAGTCAGTTTTAACAGCACAACTTGAAATCATGCTCAGGAATACTAAGACATGTTAGTTCATAAAACTTCTTCCAAAAGGAAGACACACATAACCAAAATGTCAAAGAAGCAAAACAAAAAGGCAAGTGGAAATAATTTTTTGAAGACAAAATAAAGAGATTTAGACATATTAATATAAAGCATAGAAAATTATTAGTAAAAATTTGCCTTTGTTAAGGAGTTCTTTGGGTCTGTTGCTTGTAATGTCACTAGTAAAATCTTTTTTTTTTTTTTTAAATTTAAAAAAAAAAAAAAGGATTAGCTTTTATTAAATGGAGTCACACCACAGAGTAGATAAAAGGAGTTAAATCTAAAACAGAAAAATAATTAATTTTTTTCAATGTTGTATGAAATCAATGAAATAAAAATGTGCAATAATAAAAAGCCCAGTTCTTTCTTAAAATGACATATTTTGTCTTTTAGCAATGAATGATTTATATTTTGCAGAATTTTTCTTGTAAAATTCATGATAGTGCTAAATTTGCTGGTCAGTAAGTAAGATAGAGTGAGAGAATGGAAGATATTTTCCCTGGTAATGTGGAAGTGAAAAAAAAAGGCCATCTGGATTGTCTCACCTTTACAAATTGGAATGATGGACCAAGAGTTTACTTTTTTTTTTATCTATTGAAAATCTGCCATGTGGAAAAAGCAAATTGGGAAATGGCTTTATCTCTTTCTTAGGAAATTAGAAAAACATATGTCAATGGTGAGAAGAGAGGCAGACGGAAATTATATTTTTGTTGGTGAAAATGAATTGAGGGTTAGGATTATGAAAATCAATCTTGTCATAACAGACAGGTGGTCTGGTTTATATTTTCACTAAGACAGTGATCACCTATGGATGGAGAACAGCATGTCACTTTGTTGAGAATTTAGTCAGAGAATTGAAATTAACAAGAATAAACTACGCCCTTTCACCTAAGCACTTTAAAAAAGACAGTTATGCCAGCCCTGATAGGTGGGCAAAGTTAGAATACTGAGAAGGAAGGAGGAAGAGGCAGAATTTAGCCCTGCCTGTGTGGAGTGGTGGTACGAGATGTGAAGTGAAGCAGGTTGGAGTTAAGGGAGGAGCAATACCTGTGACTACTATCAAATAAAATTTGGAAAGTTGATTAAGAAATCAGAAATAGGGAACAAAGAAAACCTTTATTGGGATTAATGTGAGGATTGAGGAATCTCTCAATTCCCAGAACCATTTGGCTCCATGCCAGTTTTGGGCTGAAGTGCATATAAACAGAT